CAACTCTTGAGCCACGATCGCCCCTATGAAGATATATATCGGACGCCAAAATGAAAACATCTATAGTTTCAAATTATACGCTATTGTTTGTTTCGTGGTGTCGCAAAATACACAGTTTACGGCAATATTTTTTCATCAGGGCACAGAGAACACCACCGTGGCCAGTGAAGACGAGCCAGAACCAGGTAGCTCCAAACAGAAAGACCAGTCAAAACAAATCGAAGACCTTATTCCTAAACAAGGGGCTACCTCTGTAGCATGGACATGGTTTGGTTATGAAACGTCCGACAGGGACCAGAAAACTGTACTATGCAAATTATGCCTCAAACCGGTCCCCACCACGGACTCAAACACGACAAATCTCTTCTACCACCTACACAAGAATCATGTGAATGGAGAGATGAGAAGCAAAAAAGAGCCGTCAGGCGCTCAAAATAAACCTTAGACTCAAACGTTAGAACAGGCTTTTCCCCGCAGCACCCCATGCAATAAAAAGTTTCATGCATCGGTCAAAACACTCAACTCCAGGTACACGACGCCCAGCTGGAAACACTTCACACAAGTCGAACTGCCCGAGATTCACAGAATTTACAGAAAAGGCACTATTTTGTGATATATATCGTTATCGTGATGAGAAACATCTCATAACAGAATATGAGATTTTGGTCATATCCCACAGCCCTCATGATCTATTTCTATGATGACATAAATCACAGGTGTCGAACTCCAGGCCTCGAGGGCCGGTGTCCTGCAGGTTTTAGATGTGTCCTTGATCCAACACAGCTGATTCAAATCGCTAAATGACCTCCTCAACATGTCTTGAAGTTCTCCAGAGGCCTGGTAATGAACTAATCATTTGTTTCAGGTGTGTTGACCCAGGGTGAGATCTAAAACCTGCAGGACACCGGCCCTCGAGGCCTGGAGTTTGACACCCCTGACATAAATGATTGCATTTTCCCAGTTTTGCAGAACTGCTCAAAGATTGCACTTTGTTGAAGTGAAATACAGTTAATTATAACAGAACAATATAATAATATATAACAAAAGCACGAATAAACAGGCATTTAATTACATTTAGTAGTGAAATGTATGTTCTTTGAAACTGACAGTTTTTTCAGAATCACTTCAAACGTATATTGGTCATAACAGAATAACAACTAACTAAAAAAAAAACAGTTGGTCTCTAATAAAATTAGCAACGCATCAGCATCCCGGGTGTAACTAAAAGAGAAAAGACAAAGTTTGTGCCAATAACTGGATACGACTGTTTTACAAATGTATTACAAGCCTTGGAGCCTCTTGAGTCTAAGATGACTCCCTCTCAGTCCATCCACCATGATTTTGATTTTTTTTGTTTTAAGATAAACTTCAAACATTACTTTTTCCGATGTATATTAGACTATTTCCCTTAATTGTATTTAAACAAGCATGAACAAACAATTAAAAAGCTAGAAAAGAGATTACTGAACCAGGCAAATGTTAAGAAACTAATTAAATTAATAGTATTTCACTTGCACAACTGATGTCCATCCACTTATGTTAACAAATCAGGGTAGGCCAAACTATTGATCACTGTATATAAACAGTAATCAATATGATTTTCTGCTCTTCTGATAGAATTTAAGAGCATACCAACTGCTTTCCCTTCAAAACAATCCCACGTGTCTCTCCATCTCCTTCATCTTTCCTCCTTGCACAGAGGTGCACATGCATTGACAGTACAGCAGTGAATAGCATTATATTAATTGTGTTTAACTCCTGTGCAGGTGGGTTTCTAACAACTTTTTTGCTGAAAACTCAAACACATTCACACCATGACTTTGTCTGCAAAAAATTAATAAACCTTGCAGCTCTATTTTTAAGATTCATCCACATTTGGTGCTCTAACAGGTATTTGGGACGAGAGTTTAGTGTATATGGGAATGACAACTTTGGACAGCAGTGTAACTCTGTGGGACACAACAGAGGAATAACACATCAGGCTCTGGTTACACTGCAGGTCTAATTCTTCACTAGGTCTACAATTTAGCATTGATTAACCTGCCAATTATTTCTTCAATTTACTGCAATGTAGGATAAGCATAACAAATAAATACTATGTTTTTGCTTGAAAATTGAATCCATTATCAAACCACCATTCAATTCATTGCAGCTCTATTTGGAATGCTCAAAGCTACAAGGTTGCCAGATGTGTTTTTAAAGACCAGAGTTTAGAATTCCTAATAGAAAAAGAAGGAAAACTTGCCTCTTTTCTGGACCCAGCCTTCCTTGACGACGTTCTGGTCGCTCATGGTGGCTTCTCCTCGTGACCAGTTCTCCCAGCTCTCCCAGTATGGTGACCGTGAAGGGACAGTTGTTGGAGGGTTAGCAGGACAGTGGGTTTGTCTGAAGCTCAGTCAGCTGTCCGTCTGACCGCTTGACTTATTCTCATCAGACTTGAAATTCTTCCCCTCACTGCCTAATAGATGAATATTTATACTTCTCTTGTCCACTATCACTTACTCTTTCCTCCTCTTGCCCTTCTGACCCAACCTGACTTTCTCCTGCTGCCTCTCTTCCCGTCTAGTGTTCCTCACCGTCTTTACTTTTCTTGCTCCCTCTTTCCCTCCCTCCTTCCTTCCTTTCTTCTCACTCCCTCTTTTACAGTGTTCCCTTCACTCTCTTGTTCTCTCAGAGTTCTTCAGTTTTCAGGCGGTCCAGTAGTGAGTCAGCCTGGAAGGAAACAACGACAGAGAAAGGAGAAAACTGAGAAAAAAAACCCACAGCAGGTCAGTGGATAGTTTCCTTCTCACAGCAAACACAGCAGGCAACCACTCATTGTTCAGAACCTTAGCACGCTTCCTGCCTCCTTAACTCCTTCCAACCTTTTCCTTGTTTCCTTTGTTACATCCCTTGCCAGACAATTTGCTATTTCTTTCATGTCTCTGGTTCCCAGCTCTGTTATTTTTTCATCTTCTCTTTCCTGCATCTTCACTCACCTTTAAGTGAAGGAAATTCACGTATCTCATTCTCTCCTCTCCCATTTTCTATGCCAACTACCATTTAAGGTTGATTCTGTTCATCTGGGCGTAACGTTTTCAGTGGGAAAAATGCTACGTCCAGATGAGCAGAATCAACCTTTCAGGATTTGCTTGCCTGGATGATTGAGCATGCATCAAGACATCTATCATTTATTTACCTGCTATCAACTTCCTGATGATTCTCCTTTTCTTTTACTTCCTTTAGTCCTTTCTTGTCATGTTCCCTCTCTTTCTCACAAACTCATTTTCTTCCTCTCTTGTCCCCTCCCCACTCTGTCCCCCTCTTCATCATTTCTTGACTAGGTATACTAGTTTTTTCTCTTCCTTCAGTTTCCCCATCCATCTCTCCCTTGGCGGACTTTTCCTCCTTCCACACAGAATTCCAGGACCTCCCAGTCTCACCCGTTTCCTTCCTTCCCTCCCTCCTCGGTTCTTACTCCTGCTTTCCTCCATCATTCATTCCCTCATTCATTCTAATTCTTTTGCCTCACTTTTTCAACTCCTGTCGCCCCCTTCTTCTTCACCAGCCCCTACTTTGATTCTTTTTCCTATTTCTATTTCTCTTCTCTCACCTTTTTCATCCATCCTCACATTTTTCCATCCTACCCCTCATATCCTTCTCTGACTATACCAACAGGCTTCTCTGTTCTTAGGTAGGACTTCACAGTTGTGAGAATGTTGCTTGTTTATGTAAATAAGACTTACAGTAAATATGACAAGTTAATTGAGAACAATGGGACATATGTTTCTGTTTCTAGAACAATCTGCATTGTGTCAAACTTATGTCAAGTTAACAACAACAAAAAGGCAACGGCTACTATTTACTTTAATTCATTGATTTCCCAAAATAAATTGTTAGTCTTGAGTGTGAAAATGTACAATACCACAACAGCTGTCTCAGTTACATTATTTCATAGAACAGCTAAACAATTGGATAAAACTGTTTCTATATAAAATTTAAATACAGTGAAATAGTTTTTCCAGTTTAACTAGAAAAGGAGTTGGGAGTTTGCATATCATGTCAAAATAAATCAGATCCAGTTAGCTGCGGCTAAAGAGACTATTTCTCTCTGGGGATTAAATAGTCCATCCATCCACTGCAATTCGTCTGCAGCTGGGTTGCAGGGGCACCAGTCCAAGCAGAGACGCCCAGACCTGCCTTACCCCAGCCGCCTACTCCAGTTCTTCCGGAGGTTTCCAAATCAGCCAGGGGGTCTTCTCGTGGGGCATGTCTGGAATACATTACCTAAGAGGCACCAAGGAGGCACCCTAGTCAGATGACTGGTTCCTTTCGATGTGGAGGAGTAGCATCTCTATTCTGAGACCTTAATTAACTGAATTCCTCACACCATCTCTAATAGCCCTTTTCCATTAGTACCTACTCGGGTCAGCTCGGTACAGCTCGACACGGTTTTTAGGGTTTTCCATCAGATGACAGAACCTGGTACCTGGCAACAAGGAAAATGCCCACACAGAAACAACACCGTGGTGCTGAGCCTGACAAAAAGCCACAGACCGAGCAGCAGGTATAACATCACCTTGACATCCACCTTTGTTCATGTCACATACAAATGACGACACGGGATGTTCAACCATGTTGCTATAACAACACCATGCACATTAAGTGGTACTCGATTGTAATGGAAAACAAGTTATGCCGCCTCGAGTTGCTTTGTGCCAATTCAAGTAGGTAGCAACGGAAAAAGGGCTTAAGGAAGAGGAAACTTTCAGCTGTCTATAACCTCAATCTCATTCTTTTGGTCACTACCCAAAGCTTGCCACCACAGCTGAGGATGGGGATGCAGACCAACTGGTAAATTGACAGCTTTGCTTTAATGCTCAGCTCTCAGTTTTCCACAATGAGTGTCTCCATTACTGCAGAAGCAGTACCAATCTATTCATCAATCAAACACTTCCCTTACCTATGAACAAGACACCAAGCTACTTAAACTACTCCAAAAAGCAGTGATAAGATTTTGAGGCCACCAAAGTGAAGATCTTCTGCCACTTGGCTCCACCAAATTATTCTGTTCATAAAAAATTATGCACAGTGACAAAGAGCAGGTCCAGTGCTATGCAAGTCAGGGTGCAGTTATAGGTGAAGGCCCTAACAGTCTGATTTCTGCCTTTTGAAACTAGAATGTGAGACATGGAACAACAGCTTTCAGCTGGGGAAGAACCATGAGCAAGTTTGGTTGACTCTTAATGGACCTCCATTGTTGAGGTGTCTGTACAGAGCTGTGGCTGCGAGGTAGCTGATGCCTGTCATCGTGGCAACCTCCTAAGTCAGGGGTCGGCAACCTGCGGCTCTTTAGTCCTTATACTGCGGCTCTGCGTGGTTTGGGAAAATAAATTAGAAGTATTTAGCTGAAGTGTATTTTATTTATGTTAGTT